AATATTATTCAGCCCTAAAGAGAACCTGGGACCCTTAAGTCTGCAGGCCAACGCTCTATCCACTGAGCCAAACCAGTTAGGGCCATGGTAAATTTTATGTTATATGTATTTTACTAAAAAAACAAAACAAAAATAAAAACGCCAGACTTACCATGGATTCTTCAAAGCAACCTGGCTATATCATGTGCTCAAGACCAGTGCTCTATGAGTGAATCACTCCAGGTAAGACACTTTCTATTTTGTTTTGTTTTGTTAATCTTTATCTGAGGTTTTTTTCCACTGATTTTTAGAGAGAGTGGAAGGGAGGGAGGGTGAAATAGAAGGAAGGAATGGTAGAGACATACAGATAGACAGACAGACACACACACACACACACACACACACACACACACACACCCTGATTGGTTGCCTCCTGCACAAGCCAGACCGGGCCTGGGGAACCAACGTGCAACCCAAGTATGTGCCTTTGCCAGGAACTGAACCCATGACCCTTCAGTGCGCAGGCCACACTCTGCCATGAGCTATAATGGCCAAGGCTCCATTCTCTTTTTGAGTATCTATGCAGGATCCACAGACACTTTAGCCATTATAATTTAGGGTTATGATAGAAGATAAATAATAAGTTACAGACACATTAGACACTGAGCAAGTGGTTTGAACTAAATGTTTGAATACGTCCTTTCAAATGAACTTATTATTTAATTTTCAAAATATATTTCAGCCTATTGCTTCTACTCATTTAACAGCATTTCTAAAAAAGCATTTTGATTGATTTTTAGAGAGAGGACCTACTGTTTTTCAAAGTGTTCTAGATAGCTGGGTACAATAATGAATAAGGAGTAAAATTCTTAGTTGTCACAGACTGGAGAGAACCAATAAACAAATATTAAGTATATATAATGTTAGTCATAGCTGCTAAGGAAAAAATAAAGTAGGGGAAGGAGATAGAGGTTTTGAAGTATAAGAGCTGAAATAAAAATACTTTTATTGGTTTTTTAGAGAGAGAGGAGTGGGGTAGAGAGAAACACTGATGTGAGAGCATACACTGATTGGCTGCCTCCTGCATGCCCCCTTATCGGGGATCAAGCCAGCAACCTGGGAATGTGCCCTGACTGGGAATCGAACCTTTCAGTGCACCCAACCAACTGAGCCACACGGGCCAGGCCAAGCGCTGGTATTTTAGCTAAGGCAGCCAGGGAAAAGTGATAGTTAAATCTGACTCAAGAGTGAAGGAGTTGGCCATGTGTATACCTGGTGCGATAGAACTCTAGGCAGAAGGAACAGCAAATGAAACATTCTAAGGCACTAAAACCCAATCACCTTTGGCAAAATAAAGTTCAGTGGTATTTAGCAGTGCAAGATATTTGGAAACCAGAAAAAAAAATTATATATATCTATTATTTTTTATATTTTAGTATTGATTTCAGAAAGAGGGAGGTTAGAAGAATAGAAACATCAATGATGAGAGAGAATCATTGATCCGCTGCCTCCTCCATGCCCCTTACTAGGGATCAAGCCTGGTATGTGCCCTGACCAAGAATCCAACCGAGACCCCTGGGTTCCTGGGTCAAGTCAACCACTGAAACACACCAGCAGGACTCGACTGTTTTTAAATGATTTGTAGCAGTGTAAGGTTTTTGTTTTGTTTGATTTTTAAGTTGGTAGGTAGGTGAGAAGGAAAGGTCATTATTCTATGGAGATACTGGTGACAATTAGCACTTAAAACTTATTTTCAGAAAATCCTATCTAATAGAGAGGGAATATGCAAATTGACCGCCTTGCAGTGACAAGATGGCTGCACCCAAAGCCTAGGCATGGATCCCATAACACAAGATGGATGCGCCCACAGTGGAGGCCGAGTTCCCATAATGAGCCTTAACACACAATCAGCAGGGACCTGAGGCTCCCCTGCCTGATGGGGTTTGACAGGTGACCTGAGGCCATGCCCCCCACCCTGGCACTGGGCCAGGAGACCTAAGGCTGTGCCCACTCTCCTGGCAGGGCTTGATGGGGGACCTGAGGCTGTGCACCCCACCCCGGTGCTGGGCCAGGGGACCTGAGGCTGCACCCTCCACGCAGCGTGGCTTGACGGGGGTGGGGCTGGCCAGGTCTGGGTCTCATGTGATTTCAAGGCAGACATGGATGGGTGGGGACTTGACTCTGGTTCCCAAGGCATGCCCCAGACTCTGACAGGAGGAAGATTTTCATATACATTTTATTAATTTCCTTTCATCTCTGACACTTCTATTATAGAGAAAGGCTAAATAGCAATATTAAAATATTTCATCTAATTCCCTTTTAATGTGCATGAATTTTGTGAACCGGGTCACTAGTAAAATCATAAAAGACTAGGTAATTTTATAAACTATGTTTCTATTGATGTTTAGGGAGAGAGAAAGGGGGAGAAACATCAATGTGATAGTGATATACTGACTGTCCTTCTCCACACCCCCTACGGGGATCACAGCCCACAACCTGGGCATGTGCCCTAACCAAGGATCAAGCCCTAAGCTTTGGTGTACAGGGACGATATTCTAATCCAACTGAGCTATTCTGCCAGGGCTCTGCTCATTGCTTCCTAACATAATATACAAGGTCTTCCAGGGACCAGCTCAGCCACCAGTTTCCTTCCCAGCTTGTTTTCTATCACCTCTTCCTACACATCTTAGGCTTGAGCCCAAGTTTTTTCCAAAATGTGCTCTAAGGGATACCAGTTTAAGCCTCACCACAGAAAAAGGGCTCCACGGTCAAATATATTTTGCAAATTACTGCCAAATACGTTTCCCTCTTAGAGACCCAGAAGTGGTTTGCCATGGGCACTGTGAAATGCAGCATTCCGCGTACTTATTCCTCAGAACCATTTTGGTGTAACACCTATCAATGTACCTGGGAACATATTTCAAAAAAGGCTTCTCCAGGCTTATTAACAATTGCCAGGGCAACCAAGAACACCACGGACATTAAAAGTTCTATTTCTGAGCACCTTAAGTCAAGAGTTTTCAAATTCTAGAATTTAGTAAAATCTCAGGACAACGTAAGATTTGCAACCCAGTAGTGCCTTTTTTGAGCTCCCATGTCACCCGAGTGAAGACTCTTACCATTCTTGGCCATACTGTCATTCATCTATGTTTATCACTCTGGCTAGACTCGAGCAACTCCAGGGAAGTGGAGATCCATCCACAGTGACTACTAACTCAACGGCTATTGCATTAGCAGTCATTGTGGCTCAATAAAAAGTTCCAAAAGGACTCTACTAAGCCAGAGTAAGACCCAGTGATAACATAACAGAAAAAGCACCAGCTGGCAACATTCCTGACTTGCTACTTGTGATCTTGTGTTAGTTTCAGTTGCCAGTTAGTAACATAAGAGTATCTGCCCTAATTGATTGGACTTGTGAAGAACCAAGTAGATCACTCGTTTAGTCAAAAAAGCATATGCATATAGTATAGAAATGATAATATAAGAGGTGGTTAAATTTACTTATTTTATTAAGGCAAAATGAAGTGTAATATCTTTCTGAAGGATCTTGGTGTGTATAATAAAGTATCCAGTCCTAAACCTTGATGAACTGGGTTTTACACAAAGCCTTAACAAATACAAAAAAAGTCACAAGCAAAGGATGGTTCCAGCTCTAAATCATAGGTTGTGGCCTCTGTGATTGACTAATTGGGACTTGGGGCGGTGAACACACAATACAATCTACACTTGACATATTATAGGATTATACTCCTGAAACCTATATAATTTTATTAACCAATGTAACTCCAATAAGTTCAATTAAAAAAAAAAAAAAAGACTAACTGCACATCTATTCACCCACTCCCACGGAAGGGAAATCTTCTGCAGAACTGAAGCAAGGTCTGAGCCTTGAACAATGATTACCTTTTATTTTTTAGAGCAAGTTTTAATTACCATTCCATTTTCAATTAATTCAAGTACACCACCAGAATCAGAAACATATGCCAAGACATAGCTTTGATGCTAAATACCATATGTTCTGGTTCACTCGTTCACACATAGGCCCCCCAAAAAACGAAATCTGATTCAATGGCACATCCACCTGCAATGCAGTTGATTCAGCTTTCACGGACGAAGTCTTATGTTCATGAGATCTAGATGCACCCTAAAAGATTGGCCCCCTTATTCCTAGACTTCTTCACCTTGTCTTGACAAACAGGGAGCTAAGACATAAATAAATCCAAACATTACCTCTTCTGAGAGGGATTGCTCAAAGGATCTGTGTTACTAACCATGCTTGTTGTACATTCTGGGCCCGGTTTTTTTTTTTTTTTTAATATATATTTTATTGATTTCTTTTTTTCTTCTTTCTTTCTTCCTTTCTTTCTTTCTTTCTTTCTTTTCTTTTCTTTTCTTTTTTTTTTTTTCAGAGAGAGAGGGAGAAGGATAGAGAGCTAGAAACATCAATGATAGAGAAGCATTGATCAGCTGCCTCCTGCACACCCCCCACTGGGGATGTGCCCGCAACCAAGGTACATGCCCTTGACCGGAATCCAACCCGGGACCCTTGAGCCCGCAGGCTGACGCTCTATCCACTGAGCCAAACCGGTTTCGGCTCCCCTTGGCTTTTAAGTAAAAAACTCTTTAAAAACACGAGAAAATAGAATGTTAGGTTGACCTCACAGAAACAAGAGCCACTTGGCAGCAGTCCCGCTGACACCTAGGCAAACGGGGTAACTGACATGACTCCCGAGACCACGTCACTTTGAAGACAGCCCCCCTCGGGGTGCTGCCGTTCTCCGCAGTCATTCCAGCTGCCCAGAATAGCCGTAACGGAAGAGCGGACGCGGGGCCCACCCGTGCCGGGGAGCGGCAGGTAAAGAGGTCCGAGGGGCGCCCGGGAGTTTAGAAGTGGGGGCCCCAGCAGAAGGGTCCCCCTCGAACCAGCGATCGCCCTGAGACCAACGTGGGTCCCCTCTGGGGCGCCTCAGGCTTCGCACAGGGCAAACCTCGGAGGACACCCAGGGGGAGGCGAGTCTAACCTGAGAGGCCGCGGGCGCTCGCTACAGCGGGAACCAGCTTAGTCGCTGAGAGAAGCCACGGCATGCCGGCCGCGCACACGCGTCAGGGAGGAGAGGAGGCGGACGGCGGGGGAAGCGGCGGCACGCTGGGCTGCGTCGCCAGGAAACCGAGCCAAGCGCCCCGCCCCTTCCGGCCGGCGCGCTGCTCGCCGGGCTTTCCTCCGGAGGCGGCGCGCAGGATGACGTCACGCCGCGGCTGTGGGTGACCGCCGCTCTGGCCGGATTGGCTTGGTGGCGTCATGACGTCACGCCCCACTAAGGGCCCCCCAGTCCCAGAACGTCGGGTTCGAAATGACTCCCGGCAGGGGCTGCCGCTTCCCGCCTCCTGGAAGGCGCCATGCGGCCGGTGGTTCTATCCGGAGAACCGGCTCGGAGCTGAGAACGTAAGAAAGCGTGTGTCAAAGGGGCAGGCAACGGCGCGAACAGCCACGCTTCTAGAAGGTTCTCACCAGCGCGCCGCCGGAGGAGAGGTGAAGGGAGTCGGAATGAACCGGCGAAGGACCCGGGGTCACGAGACCGTTGGTGGGAGGAGCCGGGGGCTGGGGAAGTTCTAGTCTGTTCTGCCTCGCGGCTGCCGCCCCCTTCCACACGGTGCGGCCGAGGGAGCGCCTGTGCCCGCCGCAGCCCCGCCGCCCGCCCCGCCATGGACCCCCGCAAAGTGAGCGAGCTCCGCGCCTTCGTGAAGATGTGCAAGCAGGACCCGAGCGTGCTGCACGCCGAGGAGATGCGCTTCCTGCGGGAGTGGGTGGAGAGGTGAGCCCCGGCCTGCGGGCCGTTGGGGCGGGAGCCGGGGCGAGCGGAGGGGGGCGCTGGGCCGGAGCTGGCGCGGGCGGGGGGGAAGGGCCCGGGGGGGGGGGGGCAGGGCCGCGGCGGAGTGGCCGCCTCTGGGGCTCGCTCTCTTGGCCCAGGAAAGGGAGGCCACCTCCGGGGGCGAACGGAGAATCGGGGCCCCGAGCCCCGCGGGGCCCCGCGCGCTCCCGCCGCCGGGGGTGTGTCCGGGGCGGGACGGGGAGGCCGGAGGCGGCGGGCCGGGCCGCGGGGGGAGGGTCAGGAGTTGCCCGGAGTTGTTTTTCTTGAAATCTCCGGCGTCCTGCTTAGGCTGCAGGGTCACGCAGCAGCTCCGTTTCGGACTGTGCCTTGAACTCGTGTTTTGTAACGTTGGTTCCTGACGCCGTAAGTTGCAAAAACACGGATCGCTGTGTTTCATGGCCCGTAAAACGACAGCGATTCCAACAGCGTAGAATTATTTTGAGAATCACCTCTATCTCCGCCGTGCCGTCATTCCAAACACTAAAGACAACAAGAAAATAAAAGAAGGGAAGAAAAGGAGTTTTCAAGGACCGGTGTATTTCCATGATCGGTGGTGGTTTTCTTTGGAGTGCACGGAATTAATTGCACAGGCATTGCGCCAGATGCTAGGAAACAGCACGCTCTGGGGATACAGATGAATAAGTACAGAGAGGAGATCTTTCCTGAAATGATTTTTAAAAATCACTACTGGTGGGGAGTCTAAAAGCGATAACCTACACACTGTGCCTCGTGGTGATAAATAGCGACAGTGCAAGGCAGAATGACTTCCAAAAGGTAGTGCCCTAGACGTGGGTCTGTTTCCTTTAGTAATATTTTCGTAAGGGAAGGTGAACCCATACTTAACAAGTATTGGGAAGGCTATTTCCTCCAATAAGCTTGTTTTCATGTGTCTATGAGGGTATAATTTCCTGTAAGAAGTTTTTAAGCCTTTATTCCTCCTCACCGGTTTTCTAGCTACTATTAAGATTTTACTTATTTATTTATGTGGCTTGAGAGAGAGGAAGAGAGAAACATCGATGTATTGTCCCACTTATTTACTCATTGGTTGATTCTTGTATGTTCGCTGACCTGGAATGGAACCCTCAGTGGCCAGCTGAGCTACCTGGCCAAGGCTTCGGTAAACATTTTAACTGACGTGAACAGAAAACCTCTAACGTCAATGAATTTATTTTATTTTATGTCTATGTATTGATTTCATAGAGGAAGGGAGGAGAGATAGTGGCTCTGTGGTTGTTGATCTCCCAGTTCATAGGCAGTGGGCTCAATTAATTTAGAATATAGCATCCATTGTTTTTTCTTTTTAAACGCGTGCTTAAGTAACTATAGATTGAATGTTACCGAATTAAGAATTATGGTTGCTGGGCCATTTATTTTGTAGAATTTCCTTCAGTCCACAGGCCAATGCTCTAGCCACTGAGCCAAACCAGCTAGGGCCAACTTAAAAAAACAAAGATGATTTTTAAAATATATTTTATTGACTTTGTACAGAGAGGAAGGGAGAGAGAGTTAGAAACATCGATGAGAGTCATCGATCAGCTGCCTCTTGCACACCCCCTACTGGGGATGTGCTTGCAACCAAGGTACATGCCCCTGACCAGAATCGAACCCAGCACCCTTCAGTCCCCAAGCCGACGCTCTATCCACTGAGCCAAACTGGTTCCGGCAAGATGATTTTTTTAATTGATTTTTTTTTTTTTTTTTTTTTTTTTTTTGAGAGAGAGAGAGGAAAGGAGGAGGGGGAGAGAGAGAAATCCTATCTAATAAAAGAGTAATATGCAAATTAACTATCACTCCACTTTACTCACCAGCCACACCCCACCAACCAATCGGAGTGAGTATGCAAATTAAACCCAACCAAGATGGCTGCAGCCACAGAGAGCAGGAGGGAGGCTTGAGTTTCCCTGGCAATGGAAGAAGCCAAACTTTCCACATACCCTGTCAAGCCCAGGCCTCCACTCAAGGGCACAAAGTTTCAATTATAGAAGGTTAATAAATTCCAACAGAAATGGCGACAGCTGAAGAGCAGGAGGCTAGGGTTGCCCCAGGCTGCTGAGGAAGCCAAACTTCTGCAGTCCTGGCCGGCCTAGGTCTTCACTTTAGGTTACAAAGTTTCAATTGTAGAAGATAAATAAAACCCAGATACCAGGGCCTCCGCTTGGGTCACCAGGTAGTGTGGCTGGCCTGCAAACCACCACAGGCCCCACACCTCAAGGGAATCCCCACCCTGATTCCGGACACTCTTCAGGGCAAACCAATTGGTCCCTGCCCGTGTACCAGGCCTTTATCCTATCTAATAAAAGGGTAATATGGAGATTGACCATCACTCCAACACACAAAGATGGCTGCCCCCATGTGGTCAAAGATCCTGCCCCCAGGTGGACACAAGATGGCCAGCAGGGGAGGGCAGTTGAGAGGTACCATGCCGGCAAGGGAGGGCAGGTGGGGGCAATCAGTGCTGCAGGGTAGGGTAGTTAGGGGTGATCAGGCCGGCAGAGGAGGGAAATGGGAGGCAAACAGGCTGGCAGGGAGCAATCAGACATCAATCAGGCTGGCAGGCAGAAGGGGTTAGGAGCAATTAGGAAGGCAGGCAAGCAGTTGGGAGCCAGCAGTCCTGGATTGTGAGAGGGATGTCTGGTGGGATCGGGCCTAAACAGGCAGTTGGACATCCCTCGAGGGGTCCCAGGTTGGAGAGGGTGCAGGCTGGGCTGAGGGACCCTCGGCTCCTCCCCACTCCTCCCTGCACAAATTTTGTGCACTGGGCCTCTAGTATTGATATAAGAGGGAAACATCTATTGGCTTACTCCTTCTGGGGATCAAGCCTGCAGCCTGGGCACGTGCGCTGACCGGGACTCGAACAGTGAGCTTCTGGTTCATAGGTTAATGCTCAGTCACTGAGCCACACTGGCTGGGCGATAGATTCTTCAGCTTTAAGCAAGAGGACATATAATGAAATCCATTTTACAGTATGTTAATTGATATAAACAAGAGTTAATATCAATATCCCACCAGCTATAACAATATTGATTGACCTGCTGTTTGTAATTCGTGGTCTTGCCTTGGAACGTTTTGGGAGAAAAGGGCTTGCCAATTCCAAGACGAAGTACTCATGGCAAAGTTCAGAGGAGATGAGAAAATCTATAATCTGAGCAGCATGCGAATGCAAGCCAGAAGAGCCTTTAATAGGTCCCAAAGGAAACAAAAGTTTTGAATTGTTATACAATGACTTCATAATTATTTCCTAAGTGGCCTTTTTGAATTTAATTGTGCTCTTAACTGGACTCTAGTATAACGTCTGAATTCTAAACTGACAACTTGTTCAAATGATTTTGTCATTGTATGTTTTTCTTTTGCTGTGTGATTGTTCATTAGGCTTAATTTTTTCATTAACTGATACGCTAAAAAGTGAAATTTTAAGCTGAAAAAACTCATAATACTGAATTATTCAAATTAATCTGAGTTTTTACTCTTTAAAGCAAGTGTTGGGGAATGTTGTATAGTCTGGCCCTGCCAAGGCATTAAGGGGTGAGTTAAGCCAAAGCCGGTTTGGCTCAGTGGTAGAGCGTCCGTCTGCGGACTGAAAGGTCCCGGGTTCGATTCCGGTCAAGGGCATGGACATTGATTGCGGGCACATCCCCAGAAGAGGGTGTGCAAGAGGCAACTGGTTGATGTTTCTCTCTCATCGACGTTTCTAGCTCTCTATCTCTCTCCCTTCCTCTCTATAAAAAAATCAATAAAATATATTTAAAAAAAAGGGGGGGGGTGAGTTAATTAAATGCTTTACTAAATATAGCAGGTTAATTTTTAAGTTGATAATTTTGGATGGCCCTCAAATGATGTAATAAATATCCAAATGGCCCTTGGCTTTAAAGTTTGAAGAGGATAATCATCTGAATGTCTAACTTTTTTTTTCCCTAGCATAAAAATCGTTGCTTGGCTTTTCTAAATATCTTTTTCTCATCTTCCTCAGTATGGGAGGTAAAATACCACCTGCTACTCATAAAACTAAAACAGAAGAAAATAAGGTAAGTTATGAGTTTTATTCATTTTTTTCAGTAGTAAACTACTATAAGGTTTCTTAGGGACTTTTTTTTTTTTTAAATCCTCACCCAAGGATATTTTTCCATTTTGTTTTTTATTTATTTTTTTTGGTTTTGTTTTGTTTTTTAGATTGTAAGGGAGGGGAAGAGACAGAGAGAAACATCAATGTGAGAGACATTGATTGATTGCCTTCGGCATGAGCCCAGATTGGGCCTGGGGATTCAGCCTGCAACCGAAGTTTGTGTCCTTGCACAGAATCAAACCTGGGACCCTTCAGTCTGTGGGCCAACATTCTATCCACTGGGCCAAACTGGCTAGGGATCTTAGGGATTTTTTTTTAATTGTTGCTCTCAAATTACCACTCCTGGTCTCCCCAAGATCACTGGGAAATAAGATATTTGTAACATTTCTATTTGGACATCAAATCTCTGGAAGCTGATTTAAAACTGAGAATTTTGGGTTCACTGTGTTTTAGAATAAATAAAAGTAAATACTCTTTGTAAGCATGACCTGTAAGTGACAAGCTCAGAGATTGAGTGCAATTTTTAGTCTTTAGCATTGTATAGTTAGCATCTAGCACATTGTTTTATGCATTGTGGATACTTTATTAATTTTGCAAAGTAAATGAACAAATAGTTAAAGTCAGTAATTCCCAATTTATTCTGTGCTACCACATGAGGGATATTTTTGAGTATGATTCATGGTGTTGCTGTGTTACTTAGAATCCTAAACTAGGTTTATCTATTTTTATGTGAAAGTAGAAGTTATATCTTTGAACAAGTGAAATGAAAGAAGTACGTAAAAGGAATTATTTCCTCAGAGAAGTATTTGTCAGAGTTTAATAGTTTCTGAGCCTGGGTAAGATTATCCTGCCATGTGATAAACATATATTGGGTGTATTATTACATACTGACAGTATTGTGTGCCTTCCCTTTGCTAGGCGGAAAAAACAGATAGTAAGAAGGTGGAGGAAGACATAAAGACAGATGAACCATCAAGTGAGGAAAGTGATCTAGGTGAGATGGTAGTTTGTACTTGATAACCCTCATGATAAGATCTTGTGTTGATTTTTCTAATAGCACTAAATCAGTGCTGTGTATTAGAAATATATGAGCTACATATGAAACTTAAAATTTTCTAGTAACCACATTTTTAAAAGTAGGTGAAATTTACTGCAATAGTATATTTAAACTAATATATAAATAGTAACTTTTTAACATGTAGTCAATATGGAAAGATAATTAATGAGATCTTCTCATATTAAGTTTTTAAAATATATTTTACATTTCTAGCATATCTCAATGTAGATGTTACAATTTTAGTTGAAGTGCTAGTTTTGTATTCAGACTTTATGAAATGTGAAGTTGAAAAGTTGGGTCAGGACCCAAGTTGTTCCAAACATAGGTAAAAGTTTTCCAGTAATGGCATAGAGAACCAAAAAAAAAATATTCTCTGTTTTTTGTTTGTTTTAAATATATTTTCATTGATTTCGGAGAGGGGAGAGAGACAGAAACATCACTGATAATATAGAATCATTGATTGGCTGCCTCCCGCACACCCCACACTGGGGATTAAGCTCACAACCTAGGCATGTGCCCTTGACTGGAATCGAATCTGGGACCTTTCAGTCCACAGGCTAATGCTCTATCCACAGAGCCAAACCAGTTAGACTAGTGGTCGGCAAACTGCAGATTGAGAGTCACATGCGGCTCTTTGGCCCCTTGAGTTTTTAGCAAAGACCAGCTTGGGGGTACCCTAATTAAGTTAATAACAATATACCTACCTATATGATTTAGGTTTAAAAAATTTGGCTCTCAAAAAAAATTTCAGTCGTTGTACTGTTGATATTTGGCTCTGTTGACTAATGAGTTTGCCAACCACTGATTTAGCACACCTTAATATAATTTAACAGTTGAAATTAAACATAGTCTTACCAAAATGCTAAAGTATTGTTTAATGGAGAAATATTTCCTAATGTATTAGTTTAAATAAAATTAACATAAAGTAAAATATTCAGTTAATTAGTTGCAGTAACTATAGTTCATTAGTTTTTAATAGTCTCCTGTGTCATTTTTTTCTTTGGCAGAAATCGACAATGAGGGTGTGATTGAACCAGACACTGACGCTCCTCAAGAAATGGGAGATGAAAATGTAGAGGTAAGTTCAATGGCTTATTTTCTGCTTGTTACAAGGAATCCGTGCACTGGGCCTCTAGTGCTTTCGTATGTGTGTGGGTCAGTTTTGGTGGTCTTTTGTTCTATTTGTCTAAATTTTCCCATGTACTAATAACACATTGTCTAGTATAGCTTTATGCTAAATATTATTGCTAGGGCAAAGACCCCCCAACACTTCAATAGTATTTGACTGTTCTTTGTTTTTCCATATAAGTTTTAGAATCAGATTGTCAAGTTCCTTTCTAAAAAATAGGATTTCCCCTCTCCCCATTAAAGTTGCATTAAATCTAAATCAAATTAGGAAGAAGATACATCTCACTGTTGAGATTAACTATCCATCAATGTGGTATCTTAATTTATTTTTTTATTTTTTTCCTCACCGAAGGATATTTTTTCCATTGATTTTTGAGAGAGAGTGGGAGGGAGGGGGTGAGAAAGAGAACGAAACATCCATGTGGTAGCGATACATACAGATCGGTTGTCTACAGGGCTGGGGAATCTGCAACTGAGGCACATGCCTTTGCGTGGGAATCGAACCCAAGACCCTGAGTCTGTGGGCCAATGCTCCAACCAGTGTGCAACCGGCCAGGGCAGTATCTAATTTTTAGGTCTTTTGGCATCTTTCAGTAACTTACATTTCTCCATAAAGATCTTGCGCATTTTAAAGAATGAATGTTAAGTGCTTTATGTCACTATTGATAAAAGGAATTTTTAAAATGTGTGTGCCATTTATTGGTGGTGCTGTGTTATTTCAGTGTCTAGATTTATAATACTCTATCTTGCTTGGGATTTACTAGTCATCTTAAATCTAAGGTTGTTAATCTTTAGCTCTGGAACATTTTCAGTGAGGATCTCTTTCAGATATTTACTCTTTTCCATTCTCTCTGTTGTCATTCTAGGCTCCTAGTTAGATATATGCTAGATTTTTTTCACTAAGTTTCATCTCTTTATCACTCTGCTGAATTATATATGCTTTCTTTGTCTTTTTTTCCATTGATATTTAATTAGAGTGCTTCTGTTTTTCATTTTTATAATTTCACTGATTCATTTAAAAAAATATATATTTTATTGATTTTTTACAGAGAGGAAGGGAGAGGGATAGAGAATTAGAAACGTCGATGAGAGAGAAACATTGACCAGCCGCCTCCTGCACACCCCTCACCGGGGATGTGCCCGCAACCAATGTACATGCCCTTGACCGGAATCGAACCCGGGACCTTTCAGTCCGCAGACCGACGCTTTACCACTGAGCCAAACCGGTTTCGGCTCACTGATTCTTTTTAAAGTCCACTGGGGCCAGCCTCAGGGGCTCAGTTGGGGCGTGAAGTTGCCAGTTTGGTTCCTGTTCAGGGCACATACCTGGGCTGTGGGTTTGCTCCTTGCACCTGGGCATGTAGAGGCAGCGATTGATGGTTCCCTTTCCTTCCTTCCTCTAAGCATGTCCTCGGATAAAGTTAAAAATAATAATAACAATTAAGTCCACTTGTTTATTTATAAATCTCTTGCTCCTTATTCATTTCAGAACTTGCCTTAATTCTCTTAAACACATTTAAGTACTTTTTCTTTTTGCTGATTTTTCTATGATTTTTCCTAACACTTGCTAATTGAGGTACCTTGTTTACTTTTGGATTTTATGTGTTATTTAAACTATGAGGTCTCTGAAACGTCACTGTGGAAAGTTTTGAGGTATGGGTAGAAGGCATATTCTTTCAAAAAGGAAAATACTTGCTTCCCCTAGACTCTGAGATGGCACTGCCACAAGGACCACTTTTAATCTCAGCATGCTTTTTTATTGTTTGCATAAGTAATGTGAATGGTACTGAAAAGGCAGGCTTGTGGTAATGAAATTACAGATGTGACATTTTCTATTTGACTGTCCCTCTCCTTGGTAGGCTTATTTTTGATTTACCATTATGCTTATAGCTATAGGCATTTGGGGTTTCAGATTGATATTGGAGAGTATCTGATTAGACAACATATACTCTTCACCTGAATCTGACGTTTGTTTCATGTGTCCCGCGCTATCTTCAAAAACAGAATTGCATGGTTACCAGGTCTGACACCTGCCACACAGGCCAAAGCAGATGGAGCACTTGGCTATCTCACTGGATTTCAAGCTTTTATTTAATCTTGGTCCTTGAGGATTTCTACATTCTTAGATCAAAGATTGCTTTTATTTTTATATATTTTTACATTTATTTTTTGGTATCTACTTTTGTTTTTTAATTTTGTTTGTTATGGGTTTTTGTTGTTATTTTGTTAGTCCTCACCTGAAGCTATTTTTCCATTGATTTTTAGAGAGACTGGAATGGAAGGAGAAAGAGAAAGAGAGAAACATCGATGTAAGAGAGACACATGATTGGTTGCCTTCCGCACAGGACCAGGGATCGAACTACAGGACGATGTTCTGTCCACTGAGCAAACCGTCCAGGGCTGTTTTCTAAATATTGCTTTTAAAAGATGGTTTTTTTATTTGTTCAGGGTATCATGGGTACCATGTTGCTGTAAACCAAGCATGTCAAACAGATGCTATCATTTTTTTAAAAAATTTTTATTCTGGCTTTGTAGGCTGTCTTATTACCTCATAAAGTGTTTATGAGATATTTCTTTTTCTGAAAATTCAAACCTAAAAGGAACTAGCTTTAGTTACTTCTTGTGTGGAGATTGAGTTTTAATATTTGTGAATAACTAAAAAGGACTAGGGTAAGACAAGGGCAGAACAACCTGCTAGGTTGGGATGGAGGTTAAGCAAAGTAATATCTAAGGCCGAATGTAGGGAGGAAATTTTGTTGTTTCATGTAAAAGATTAAAACTCATTCTGTATACTAGGTTATTCAATTGTTATAATTACTCTCTTGGCTTTCTGGAGACTAGAGAAAAATGAATAAAAATGGAGTTTGTGACTACCTCATTCCTAAAAAGTCCAAATTGTTTTCTTCTTCTGTTTGCTCTCTTTACTATTCTAAGTCTGCCTTCAATTTTCCCCTAGATAACTGACGAGATGATGGATCAGGCAAATGATAAAAAAGTGGCTGCCATTGATGCCCTAAATGATGGTGTGTGATTTTTTATCCTTGGCTACATTTCTGTGGTATTCCGGATTCTCTCTTCTCTGCCGTAGTGACTGTTAAATAGTGGGGAAAGGAATTTAAATTTACTGAATATCTTATATTAGAGAAGAGAGGGCCTATTTTCCACCCAACCCTTCCCCAACAATAAAGAGGCTGAAATCACTCAGGTATCAATCATCTTGCCTCAGGGCATAGACAGATCCTGATGTGAGTTGCTTGTTAGACATCCCAGAGTAATAACTTGTACTGGACATCTGTAATAACCAATAAGACTGAACCATTTTCCCATGAGTTCTGTTAAGGTCCTTTATACAATATATTGTCAAAGTGAATTGTGCATTTACTTTAAAATATGGTATTTATCTTGCCTTCCATGTTTCCTATGCCCAAGTAAATTAGACTTCATGCAAAGAACTGTTCTAATTCTATAGTACATTTTATTTGTTGAATGACTTCACTGAAGGAACTAATAAAGAAGCTAACTATGTGAATAGATATAATGATATGGGTTATGGTTTTCTAGTTTTGAATTTTTATAACATTCTTATGAATTCAAATAATTTTTTTCATAAGCTTTGAGAATTTAGTAAAAATACTTCTTTGTTAAGTTAAATTTTATCCTTTTAACTTAATGGATAAAAGAAAATTTAATTAATGGAATAAAATTGATTTATTCTTTAAATTTTATCCATTTTTTCTTAATTAAAATCAATAAGAGACCTAAGAGTGTGCTATTGTCCCTGTGTTGAGTGATTTACAGTATAGGTTTGGTAAAGGTTTGCTTTGAAGAGCCCGTTTTGTATATTAATATAGAAACTAGTCTCTCCCCCTCCCCCCTCTGGTCTAAATAAAGTATGTGAAACTAATCAGATAAGAGATCAATAATTTTTCTTAATATTTTTTATCCTCTGACTACTTCTCAATAATTCTTTTTTCACTTTAGGTGAACTACAGAAAGCCATAGACTTGTTCACAGATGCCATCAAGCTGAATCCTCGTTTGGCTATTCTGTATGCCAAGAGAGCCAGGTGAGAGCGCTAAGCAAAATAGCATCCCCTACTGAATAATTTTCTTTTCCTTTCAGAAATATTTTTACTGATTTCAGAGGGGGAGAGAGGTAGACAAATAATAAGAATCATTGATTGGTCACCTCCTGCACAACCCTCATTGAGGATTGAGCCCTCAACTTGAGCATGTGTGCCCTGATTGGGAATTGAACTTGACCTCCTGGTTCATAGCTCAACACTCAATCACCCAGCCACACTGGCTGAGCCCCTGTGAATAATTTTTGATTATTTATATAGACTTGCTTCTGTAGCAATCCCAAAGGTGTTACTATTTTAAATGAATACTTTTTAATATCACACTTATTTTTTTAGTGTCTTCATCAAATTACAGAAGCCAAATGCTGCTATCCGAGACTGTGATAGAGCTATTGAAATAAATCCTGATTCAGCTCAGCCTTACAAGTGGCGAGGGAAAGCACACAGGTAAGTAATGGAATTTATTTATTTTCTGAACTCTTTTATTTAAATCTGTGTTTTTAAATATGCTTTCTTATAAAAACAACATTGTCTAAAAGATTTAATTTCAAAGTAATAATTATATGTACTCAACATGAAGAATTCATATTATAAGGAACAAATAAAAATTCTTTACTCCTTTTATTCAAAAGGAGTTACAATTTTTAAAAAATACATATTTTATTGATTTTTTTTTTTTTACAGAGAGAAAGGGAGAGAGATAGAGAGTTAGGAACATGGATGAGAGATGATCATCTGTCAGTTGCCTCCTGCACACCTCCTACTGGGGATGTGCCGCAGCCAAGGTACACGCCCTTGATCGGAATCAAACCTGGGACCTTTCAGTCCGCAGGCCAACGCTCTATCCACTGAGCCAAACCGGTTTTGGCCTCTGTTACAGTTTTTGATCACATATAGCCAGATTTAAGGTAAGGATTTCTTTCAAAATTATCTCCAGGAAAGGAGAATGGCTTTTATCGACCAAACTCACAGTCAGGACTTTATCTGGAAATAAATGACAAAGATTTATTCAGGCGTCTTATGGGACGTTCCTAGAGTCAGTAAAAATAAGAATAATTGTTTCCTTGTGCCTCAGCCCACTTAAAGTTAATAATTTAGAAGCTAGACCATAGTGACTCCATTTTATTTCTTCACTCTATTCCTCACCTGGTATCAGATTTCCTCTTATTTTCAGGGATTGGGTCCACAGTCCAGCCATGTGGCCTAACTAGGAATCAAACCAGAGACCTCTCAGTGCATGAGTTGTCCCTCAACTGGCCAGGATGTAACAATCCTTTCTCATATGAGAAACGACGATACTGAGCTGCATACGTGGGTATGTATAAAATACTCTAAAATGAATTGCAATCTGTTTCAGACTCCTGGGCCACTGGGAAGAAGCAGCCCATGATCTTGCCCTTGCGTGTAAATTGGACTATGATGAAGATGCCAGTGCAATGCTGAAAGAAGTTCAGCCAAAGGTGTGTTAAATCAAGGAAGGAAAGCCATTACTGTAATGCTCCATGGCTGTGATCACTTAGCCCTGGCAGAAAATTACCTGCAAAACATGCCAAGAAACAAACATTTGAAAATTATCATCTGTAATCACTGAAGCTTATGCTCAACTCAGGAAATCTTATTTGGTTTTCATGCTTTTATTTTTCATTCTGCATTATAGCAAGATCTATTACTTTGTTTGCACGCCTTCAATAGAATTGTAACTAAAAACAAATGAAAAGGGACAAATGGAAAAATTTATAAAATGTGAGCCAAGATTGAGTTTGATCTGTCTTTATCATAGGTATATATTGACACATTATAAAATATGAGGACCCTGTGAGAGTTAACAAGTTCAACCTTTGAAAAAATGATAATATTGAGTCCAAAAGCTAGAATATTGTTTCAAGATAATTTCTGCCTAAAATTGTCAGTGAAATTAATTTTAATGCATTCACATGGTAAATCCTTCAGCTTTGTGGGTAGCATACTATCCAGAATTCATTCCCAAAGGTTTTAAGGTAGTGCAGATTTTATTTAATTTAGCTATTAGAGACATTTTTTTCCCCCCTCATAGCAGGGCTACCTCAGCAATATTATGTGAGATACTTAAAATCTGAAGTTCTTTAAAAATCACAAGTAAACTAATGGTTGAATATGAATCTCATTTAATTAGTGTTATTCTCTGAATAAAGAATATATTTAAAGAATTTGTTGTGAATGATGTACTAGTGCCTGGTACATATATTTTCTCTCTTAGTTCCCTTTTTTTAAAAATATATTTTTATTGATTTCAGAGAGGGAGCGAGAGATAGAAACATCAATGATGAGAATCATTGATTGGCTGACTCCCTACTGGGGATCAAGCCTGCAGCCCAGGCATGTGCCTTTGACCAAATCGAACTCTGGACCATTCAGTTTGCAGGCCATAGCTCTATCCACTGAGCCAAACTATTATAGCTGGGGCTCTTTTAGTTCTTTTAAAAAAATATATTTTATTGGTTTTTGTTTGTTTGTTGTTTTGGTGTTTTGTTTTGTCTTTAACAAAGAGGAAGGGAGAGGAATAGAGAATTAGATACATCAATGAGAGAAAAATATCAATCAGCTGCCTCCTACACATCACCTAACTGGGGATGTCTCCCAACCAAGGTCATGTCCTTGACCCGAATCTAACCTGGGACCCTTCAGTACACAGGCCGATCCTCTGTCCACTGAGCCACACCAGTTAGGGCTCTCTCTCAGTTCTTACAGCATTTCTATAAGACTTGCATGTTTCTACTCCTTTCCCTCTCATTTTATGGATGAGGAAAGCTAAGGATCATTAGACTGGCAAATAACTAATATATGTGTTTCCAGTTTCTGCCTTCCCAGGGCAGGTATAGATGAAAATTGTTGTGCAATTTGAAACCTACTTGTCTTCCTGGCCATATTTAATTAGTTTGAGGTTTTTAATACTTCTAACTTCAAATCCTAGACTGTTTCACAGTGTACTTGTTAAAGCCTGAGTTACCTCTCATGTTTTTCTATCTGGCAAATCTGTCATTAGTCAAAACTATGTCAAACACCTCTCCACAAAGAAAAGTAATTCTTTAACAAAACTGTAGATGTGTATTGACTTTATCCAATTTCTAGAACATTTTTCTGTGCCTCTTTTTCCTAGGCCCAGAAAATCGCAGAACATCGGAGGAAGTATGAGCGGAAACGGGAAGAGCGAGAGATCAAAGAAAGGATGGAAAGGGTCAAGAAGGCTCGGGAAGAACATGAGAAAGCCCAGAGGGTAAGGTTCCTGTAACTAAACCATTAGTGGGAAATACAGTGAATTAGAGCTTTGAGGATATTATTTCCATTCTGGGCTCTTCTTTCATGCTGCATGCAGTTCGGTACAATAATGACAAAGGGGGTTTTCTTTCCCTTTATTATTTAATTTGTGGGAATACTTTCATTTATTTTTTATTTATTTTATTTTTTAAATATATTTTATTGATTTTTTTACAGAGGGGAAGAGAGAGGGATAGAGAGTCAGAAACATCAATGAGAGAGAAACATCGATCAGCTGCCTCTTGCACACCCCCCACTGGGGATACGCCTGCAACCAAGGTACATGTCCTTGACCGGAATCGAACCTGGGACCTTTCAGTCTGCTGACACTATCCACTGAGCCAAACCGATTTCAGCATTATTTTTATTTTAAAAAATATATATTTTATTGATTTCAAAGAGGAAGGGAGAGGGAGAGAGAGAGAAACATCAATGATGAGAGAGAACCAATGATTGGCTGCCTCCTGCATGCCCCCTACTGGGGATGGAGCATGCAACCCAAGCCTGTGCCCTTGGCCAGAATCGAACTGGTACCCTTCAGTCAGCAGGCCGACACTATCCACTGAGCCAAACCAACTAGGGCAAATTTTGGGAATACTTTTAGTCTTTAAATTTTTCTGAGTTTATGTTTTTACATGATTCTGCATGGATAAATAGGGGTGGGCAGCAGGACTTTATCTCTCCCTGTTACATAATTTGTTTTTCTATTAAAGGAGGAAGAAGCCAGACGACAATCAGGAGCTCAGTTTGGCTCTTTTCCAGGTATTTTTAAAGGAGAATTAAGCCTATTAGTATTGTAAATAACTGGAGAATGTTCTGATCTGTGGGCTCTGAATGTTTATTACATTATTGAGGCCCAAGCATCGTAGCTTTATTAAGACTGTACTGATTGTGATGGATTCAAAATATTTCTAAATATAATGGAATTTTGTCTGTTCACATGATAGTAAAAGTGCTGTGTGGAATTAAGCACAAAAAATGTTTTAAATACAGTGTAAAATTAATACACACTCTTCCCTTTCTTGTGTCACGTGATCTGATATTATCAGCAAGACACAGCCTTGAATGATGCCAATCCTATATAGTACAAGTAGAAGAGCAGTGAAAAGGGCACTCAGAATGAATGAATAAATACTTCCTTAATGAGACAGTTTGAAATTTATATAAATTTTTTTTTTAAAAGTTCATAATTCTAATGGGAAGCAACTGTTTATTTTTTTGTATTTTTATTTTTTTAAATATATAAATATATTTTATTGATTTTTCACAGGGAGAGAGAGAGAGAGCTAGATACATCGATGAGAGAATCATCTATCAGCTGCCTCCTGCACACCCCCTACTGGGGATGCGCCCGCAACCAAGGTACATGCCCTTGACCGGAACTGAACCCGGGACTTTTCAGTCCCTAGGCTGACGCTCTATCCATTGAGCCAAACCGGTCTCGGCGGAAGAGAAGCTTTTAGACCGCTTAGATCTCCTTATTTGTGATTGTTAGTTATTTGTGCACATCTTTAAATTATTGAGCCAGGTAGTAATGACTTTGTGATCCATATTTTTGCTTTTATTTATTTATTTATTTTTGCTTTATTATAGTTACTTTTGATCTGTAGAATACATTGATGTTACCTGTATTTCTCTTTAGAATTATATTGGTATAATTATTATTTCAGAATACTCCCAGTGGATTTAAAGATAGTGAAAAAATGAGTAGAAAATAATTTTGGTTATAATCTAAACATGCTGGGAGAAAATCTTTTTAGTTAAAGCATTATTCTCAGTGTAAAGAAGAAACACCAGGAGTGCTTGTTAAAAATGCAGATTTTTAGTTTCACTTTGAGAAATTTTGATTCTGTGGTGATAAAAGTCCACAGCATTCCATGTAGTTCTTAAAGGAATAACTGCTCTTGAGGAATATAGTTTTTTGTTATTTTTTTAAGGAATAACTAAACTTGAATGAATTAACTTTAAATTGACAGAAATAATATTAAAGAAATTTTGTAATTCCAAGGGACTGTTAGCTTTCTTTTTATTTTAAGGTAAGATTAGTTTTCTTTCTTTCTTTTTTTTTTTTTTTAAAGAGTTTTATTGCCAGGGGGAAAAATGAACCCAGAAGGTAACAAAGTCTGATTTTACAGCCTCATTTTTTAGAAAAAAATTGAATCCAAAAATTGATTTTGAGAAAGAGAAACATTGATGTGAGAGAGAAACATCTAGGAATGTGCCCTTACTGGGATTGAATCCTCAACCTTTCCATGTATGGGATGATGCTCAAACCAACTGAATTACACTTCTCTAGCCAAACCTATAGAGAATTTTTTATAATCGTTTGAGTCAAAACGCTTGAGAGTTGCTCATCTCATGCTTTGGAGGACAGTTTTGTAGTTTCTTGTATGCATTTCTTTTCTGGAGTTAAGGGAACATTACATGATGTTGGGAAAAAGCAAAATTGGGAATTGGATTCCAGGAGAGTTAACAAAAAATTATGTGCTCTTTTGAGCAAGGTTGCTACTTACTTCAAAGGCACCTTAACCTAGAAAGGGCTGGCTTAGGGCAAAGATAAATCTTTTACTAAAGAAGTTACATACCTGGGGCCTAACTACCCACTGTGACCTACCCAGTTAGGAATTTATGATTGATCACCCAGTGAAGTTACTTTCTATAAATCCCTTTTTCATCCATAGGAGAAAATAGTACACTGTTACAGGACTGTGAAATGTGGTTGGTGTCTATATTATCTTCCCACTTGTTTTTGTAGGTGGCTTTCCTGGGGGAATGCCTGGGAATTTTCCTGGAGGAATGCCTGGAATGGGGGGCGGCATGCCTGGGATGGCAGGAATGCCTGGGCTCAACGAAATCCTTAGTGACCCAGAGGTCCTTGCAGCCATGCAGGTAAGACTTAGAAAAACAGAGTGGAACTTCATATCACTGAGCATTTCTTTTCTCATTCCGGGTGGGGACAAAGGTTACTCTGTTAGCCAAGTTGTATTGATCTGAATTGCCAAATAGCTTGTGATATTCATTTTCTTTTAGAATGAGTAGCTTAAAAAAATTTTTTTTAAAGATTTTTTATTGATTTTGAGAGAGAGAGAGAGAGAGAGAGAGAGAGAGAGAGAGAGAGAGAGAGAGAGAATACTGATCTGAGAGTGAAACATTTATTGACTGCCTCCTGCAGGCCCTCTCAGGAATGGAGCCTGAAACCCCGACAGGTACCCTGACTGGGAATCGAACTAGCAACCTACTGGTATACGAGATAATGCTCAATCAACCGCCACATTGGTTAGAGCATTTAAATTTTTAAAAATTGTTTTATAGGAAATACTTTGTAATAGTTGGTAATTATATTTAGTTGTCCTTTTTAATTTTAACTTTTTTTAAGGATCTGTTATCTTTTTTTTTTTTAATAAATTTTATTGATTTTTTACAGAGAGGGAGGGAGAGAGAGAGAGAGAGAGAGAGAGCGAGAGAGAGCGAGCTAGAAATGTCGATGAGAGAGAAACACCGAGCAGCTACCTCCTGCACACCCCCCACTGGGGATGTGGCTGCAACCAATGTACATGCCCTTGACCAGAATCGAACCTGGGACCCTTCAGTCCGCAGACCGATGCTCTACCACTGAGCCAAACCGGTTTCAGCTGTCCTTTTCTTTATATCAAGACTTATATGCTTTTTTCATTAGGTAAAATGATATAGTTGAGGTTGACTTTGACGTGCACATGTTGTTAAAAAATTTTTTTTAAAGATATTTTTTTAAAGAGAGGAAGGGAGAGGGATAGAGAGTTAGAAACATCGATGAGAGAGAAACATCAACCAGCTGCCTCCTGCACAACCCCTACTGGGGATGTGCCCGCAACCAAGGTACATGCCCTTGATCAGCATCGAACCAGGGACCCTCCCGCCCGCAGGCCGATGCTCTTATCCACTGAGCCAAACCGGTTAGGGTTGACGTGCACATTTAGTAATGTTTCTAGTTCTGAGATTTGTCTAAATCCCAAATAACTAGGCCATGTCAAAATTATAGTTTTAAATAAATAGGTAGGATTTAATATAAAAACTTACCCATAAAATTTTTAAGTACTTAAAAAGAAAATCTTTCTTTGCAGGATCCAGAAGTTATGGTGGCCTTCCAGGATGTGGCTCAGAACCCAGCAAATATGTCAAAATATCAGAGCAACCCAAAGGTTATGAATCTCATCAGTAAATTGTCAGCCAAATTTGGAGGTCAAGCATAATGCCCTTCTGACAAATAGAGCCCTTGCTGAAGGAAAAGCAACTTGGATCACCCAATGGATGTCGCAATAATACAAACCAGTGTACCTCTGACCTTCTCATGAAGAAAAGGGGTGCTTTGAGGAGAATCCCTACCCCTCCTTCCTAAATACAACTGTAACGTTTTACAGCGGTTTGCCATTATGGTATTCGTTCAGATAATGTTTTCCTACTAGGAAACACTTTAAATCTTAAAAATACTAAAAACAAATTAAAAGGGTGTGTTAAACCCTACATTTTTCTTTACTAATCATTTGGTGTTTTCTTTTGATTAATTTGGCAAAAGATACTTCAGGATGGAAGATTTATTGCTCAGAGTGAAGTAAAGATGTATTAGTGTAAAGCAAATAGGACATTTAATAAAGTTTGAGTTAGATATATGGCTTACCTCAGTAACCATATATTGTAACCATTTTGATTTCTCTTTTTAAATGCTTTATTAAAAAAATGATTTATTTCGATAAAAGTACTAGGACCTGGGTAGGGACTGAAAGTACTAAGCAAGGCAGCAGCAATCTTACTACATTTTATATAACACGTACCCTTATGCAAATGCATTTAAATCTTACACTGGTGAAGGGGTGATTTTTTATAATGCTGCAGTAGAGTTGGATTATTTAGCTCTGTTCTTGTCTGATAGAGAAAATAAATGTTTCATATTATCTCCACATAGGGGAAAGAAGGAATATTTTCTTTTTATATTTCTGTGTTTAAAATTGCCTTTTCTGGTCAGAAAATACCCAACTATCTGTCAGCTTTCCACTTATTTTTACATTTCCCCCCCTTACTCTTGGGCTAAAGACAGTCCTTTTTCACTGGCACCGTCACTGCTAGTGAATAATTCACAGCATAATTGTGCAAGCATACTTAATGCTGGGTTAATTTAATATGTAATACATATAGTGACTGACTGTAGGGTAATACCCACTACAGCTGTAGTTTCCTACTAGGCCAAGAGAACTCATATTGAAGTATTAGATTTCTACTTTTGTGAAATATCAAAAGATGTTGGAAGGAGGGCTTCCCTTAGTGTTTGGTTGTTTACTTAGGAAATATCATTCGTATCTTTGTATTTTGGAGAGAGTCTGAGGCTTGAATTGAGATACATAGAGGGGAACCTAAATTTTTGCTCCAGCATGAATTATAAACTTGATGAGATCCATGGTTCTTTATTGTAGAGTTGTTGGTATTACAAAGAATTCATTGTTCTCCTATTCAGCGCTTAAATACTGCCATCATATTTTCACCTCTTTATTTCTCTCCAAGGATAAAAGAAAATGATAAATTTTCTGTTGTATATTCAGTTCCTATATTAAATGAGACTAAGTCCAGGCACTGTACAAGGAATTTTTAGGTTTCTACCTATGTTTCAATTAAATGCTAATGTACTTTGCTTATTTGAAGAATCAGTGGTAGGAACAGTAAAGTAATTCCATTGAATACATTTATTAAATAGCACACATCTGAAATCATAAGTCGATTCAGATTCTAATCCTTTGCTGTATACAAGCAGTTAGAAATGCATCTTATATAAGTGAGAAAAAGCTGTATGCTAATTGAGCATGCTTTTTAAACCCTTTAAAAATACTCAGCATATAAACTAGCGTTTGAGCTTGCCAGTGTTCTTTTTGGTAATGTGTGTTCTTTCTCCAAGTTTCCAATGTGGGCTATGAATAATAACTCGAGAAGACCAGTTGGTTTTGAATTCCTTGTTTGATTTACTTACTTGACTACACATTACCCAAGTATATTCTAACATTGCAAATATTAACCATAAATGGGTGAAACTAAAACTGGTCTTCTGAAAATGTGTTCTGTGCTTTTAAAGTTCCACAAATAAAAAATACATTCATTTTCATAGAAACTCAATATATCATTTTAAACAAAATGTTCTTTTTTTGTGCTAATAATGCTGTAAGAAGGAAAAAGTAAACGGCTTTTCCTACTTAAAAATATATAGTTGTTGGATATTTCTAGCTACATTAAAAATAAAGTATGGTTTCAAACTGGATATTGACTTTCCCACCCCCCTTTTCCCTCCCTAGCTCGTGCTCTATTTCTTTTGTCTCTGGCATTCATCTTAAGTTATTTACTGCCATGGTAGGCTTCAGATTATAAAATGCAGTTAACAGGGACCCACAAAAATATATTAGCAATTTTAAACCTTTTTCATCTCATGGCACACAAACTACTAAAATTCTGTGTCACAACAAAAATACGTTTTTTGCCAATCTGATAACTAGGTATACTCTTTATTAATTTACACCAAGAAAAATTAATAGTAATTACCTTTTTTGTTTCAAAGTGACTTTTTAAAAAATATTAGGTGCTTATACTTGTATGTAAGGATGCCTGGTACCAAAAATTAACCAATCAGATGCAACATAGCCAATAAGATGCAACTCTGTTATATTACCTATAGTTCAAGGCAGGGCATCCACACCAGACAGCTATTGTGTTGACTGTTGTAACTTAATTGGCAGTCTAAGGGAAAAGAGGTTAGTGCTCCTGATTAAGTAGTCAGATATTGCATATTTAAAAAAAATATATAGCCGAAACCGGTTTGGCTCTGGTAGAGCGTCGGTCTGCGGACTGAAAGGTCCCAGGTTCGATTCTGGTCAAGGGCATGTACATTGGTTGCGGGCACATCCCCAGTAGGGGTTGTGCAAGAGGCTGCTGGTTGATGTTTCTCTCTCATCAACGTTTCTAGCTCTCTATCTCTCTCTCCTCCTCTCTGTAAAAAATAAAATATATATTAAAAAATATATATATATATATTTTTTTTATTTTTTTTACAGAGAGGAAGGGTGAGAGAGAAAGAGTTAGAAACATCGATGAGTCATCGATCAACTGCCTCCTGCATGCCCCCTACTGGTACATGCCCTTGACCAGTATCGAACCCGGGACCCTTCAATCCCCAGGCCAACGCTCTAACCACTGAGCCAAACCGGTTTCGGCTCAGATATTGCATATTTTAAAAATTCTTGGCTGCACACTGGTTGAAAATTGCTGGCCTAAGTAAATATGCTTTTATTTTCTTTCAGGTAGCAATATTTGTTAGTTTCCATTTCTGGGTCCAAAGATAATTTTGTTCTGCAAGCATATTCTGAGGAAACAGAGCTCCAGAGAAGTATATGCTGAAAAACTTAGGATGGTACATGGAATTAGCATTGTGTTCTCATATCTTGTTAATCAGCTTTTTAATCTTGGGCCTAAATTTTTTAGCTGCAGAGTAAGCATAGCTGAGTGGTCATGAGCCCAACAAAATATTACCACAGGAGAAATGGAGAGAAGACCTGGAGTAACATTAGGAAATAACTGGCCTATTGGGACATAGGGAGAAACAACTTACATTTTAGAGATGTGGCCGTATCTGAAATTAATGCACCAAAGTAGGTACATATATTAAGTATTTTTTGCCAAGCACTTTGTAAATTAGTTTGCAAATAGTGACTCAATGCTGTTAATGACCATAACATAAGTGCTTTTGTCTGCATTTTATACAGATGAAGAAATGAGCACTTAGTGAATTGTGCAAGATACCCCTGACGTCGTGGAGCTGGGATTTCTAACCAAGCTTGTGGTCAAAGGTCTCAATTTCTGTGCTCTCTTGCCCCTGTCTGTATGAGGTTGCTTCTTGCGGAATTGTTACTTCATAAGGTGTGCTGATGTGCGCATCCAGCAGGTGTTGCTCCTAACAGGGATGTAACGAAGTGCTTGGTCCATTTGTGACAAACCCAATAAGGGCAAGAAAAAATTAGTTTAAAAAATGCAGTGCAGTTAACTTTTCAGTAAACTCAAGAATTATCAGCGAGGATGTTATAAAACCTCTTGGTACTGCCGAAACCAGTTTGGCTCAGTGGATAAGAGCGACTGTCTGCGGACTGAGGGGTCCCAGGTTCCATTTCGGTCAAAGGCATGTACATTGGTTATGGACACATCCCCAGTAGGGTTGTGCAGGAGGCAACTGGTTGAGGTTTCTCATCGATGTTTCTAGCTCTCCCTCTCCTCTGTAAAAAATCAATAAAACATATTTTAAAAATACTTGCTGTTACTAAAAGTGAGAGAGAATGTGACGTATTCTAGTAAAGAAATGAAATTGGAGTCCTGGAGCATTGTATCTCACAATATAGAGTGCTAGGTTAGAAATACGTATCTCACAACTAAAAAATCAGCTTTTGTAATCCTCACGGCAAATGAAGTTGTTAGTACTGTATAACATTCATTTCACAAAAGGAGAAACCAAGAGTTTAAAGACTCCCCTTGTTGCTAACGAGTATTTCCCCCCTGCATCTGATTATTTTGACTTTCCGAAGCCACTTTTCCCATCACACCCCAGGGTTTTTCAGTGGGAGAACCATGCCCAATTGATATCTCTGCTAAAATATGACTTTAAAACTACTAGTGAGAAAAAATATTCTAGCGAGAGAAAACTTGAGTCAAGTTGCAGAGAAACAGGAAGATGTGAGTCCCCCATCTTGCCAGTCGTCGGTGTGTATTCTGGAGGAGAGTGAGGCCATCTGGTCTTGCAGAGTCCCCCTCTGGGTAAGTGAAGGCAGCCGGCCAGGTTTGGGGAACTCTGGGCGGCCGTCCCGCCGCTCCGAGGGGAGGAGCCAACACTGCGCCGCCCCGCCCCGCGCGCGCTGTACGGGCCAATCAGAGCCGAGGGGGCGGTTCCAGCCCCGGGGTCCTCTAGCTGGGAGACGGGGCGCCCTACGACCCGGAAGTGGCTCTTCCGGAGGAGGCGGGGCCGGAGGGCGGAGCTTGTGACGCTTCGCCCGGGGCTCTGGCGCTTTCCTCCCCCGCCTGGCGGCTCCTGCGGGAAAGTGCGGCTCAGTCTGAGGGAACCGCACCCATGGCTTCCGTGCTGTCCTACGAGAGCTTGGTCCACGCGGTGGCCGGAGCCGTGGTGAGGCGGGGTTTCCACGCCCGGGCCGCTGCGGGTCGCCGCCGGGAAGTGTCGGGGGCGGGGATGAGGGAGCCGGTGGGTTAGGGTCGAGGCTCTCCGGGGTGACTGGGTGGGAAGGAAGGGACAGAGGCGGGAGAATCCGGTGTGAGGCTGACACCCCCGGCCCTGCCGCCGCTCCGGCTTCCTGAGACTCTGAGGTGTGGACAGAGGTGTCCCACATCCACAGGGGCGGGCGCAGGTAATGGCTGTTCTCTGCCTTCTGAAGTGTCATGGTCTCCCCACGCCAGCCCAGCACACGGACTTCTCCCCTGGGCCAAGGAAAACCAGAGGTGATGCTGTTTTCCTGAAGCTCATGCTGACCTACACCTAGTCTCACGCACCTCGCCGCAGGCATGGGCAGGGCCTGCCCCGCAGGCTGTCTCTGGCTGATATTATCGATAGAAGATACGTTTAAAAAAAAAACCAACAAACCCAGTTCAGAATTGCTGCCCTTCAGACGTGTGGTTTACTGCGAGGTGTGTGCTGGGTCCTTGGGCTTCGGGGTGTCTCGGTTCCATTTGACGCCCCTCCCCCTTTTCCTTGAAACTTTCCATTCTTGACTTGGGTGAGCTCGTCTTCTGGTTCTCATCTTAGTTCCCTGCTGCCCTTTCTCACGTCTTTAACTGTCAACACACCCCTGTAGCCGTTGGAAGGCGTGTGACTTTAAAGAGAAACATCACAGATCCCTCTCCTTCTAGCCCCTCAACACTCATTCAGACTGAAGGGTCAGTAAAATACTCCTTCCTTGATACCCTTACTTGGGTACAGAGAGCTCCTGTACTGTGCAGACTCATCAAGGCTGAACCCCAACTCCTGTATCTGTTAGACAGCTGGCCCGTAAACCTCACTTTCCCGACCTGTAAAGTGGAGGTATAGAAGCTTACTCACAGAGTTGTTATGAGAAGTAGATGACACAATAGTTGAGGGCAGTGCCCGATTCAGGAACCCCAGTTCCTCCATTAAATGAGAAGAGCCGTCGCCAGAGTGAAGAGGCCGAGGGGGAAGCTTGCTTGACGTGCCACGGAGGCCGGTGTTCTTGGAGTGGAGGGAGCAAAGAGGCAAATGGGTTCCAGGGAACCACATTGTGTGCCACTTGAACTCTGGGTGGGAAAGAGAGCTAGCTGGCCGTTGCAGGGCTAGAGCATGCAGCCATTGGCTCATGTACATTTTAAACACGATCACCCTGACTGCTCTGTCCACAGTGAACTCTTAAGTGAGCAAAGGTGGAAGCAAGGAAACTGTCAGGGAGCTATTACGTCCTCTCAGGCAGGAGATGATGATGATGGCTGGGACCAGGATGGGAGTGGAGGTGGCGAAAAATGACCGTTAAACTGGAATATATAAGGCTGAGCCCCCAGGGTTTGATGGTGGATTGGATATTGGGTTGGTTGGCTCCAAGAGCTTTTGGCTTCAGCATCTGGAAGGATGATGTCCCCATATATTGAGCTGGTGAAGACGGACAGAACAGGTTTTGGGGGATATATGTTTAGTTTTGCTTTTGGACTGGTTAGTTTGAAATGCCTAAGCATCGTCATGAGACTAGATGAGTTCACCAAGAAAATGAGTGTGGCCCTAACCAGTTTGGCTCAGTGGATAGAACATCGGTCTGTGGACTGAAGGGTCTCAGATTCAGTGCCAGTCAAAGGCACCTTGGTTGTAGGCACATCCTCAGTAAGGAGTGTGCGGGAGGCAGCTGAATCGATGTTTCTCTCTCATCAATGTTTCTAACTGTCTATTCCTCTCCCTCTCCCTTCCTCTCTGTAAAAAGTCAATAAAATATATTTTTTCAAAAGTGTGAACTGAGAGAAAAGTCTCCCAGACCACTGACATTAAGAGGTTAGGAAAGTGAGATAGCATCAGCAAAGGAGACTGGAAAGGCCAGTAGGGGTAGGAGGAAAACTTAAGAGACTGACATGTTCTGAATGTCACGTGGAGATGGGTATAGACCTACTTGGTCAGATGCTATGGATGGGTCAAATAAAAGGATTTTATTATTATTTTTTAAAAATATATTTTATTGATATTTCACGAAGAGGAGAAAGGGAGAGAGATAGAGAGTTAGAAACGTCGATAAGAGAAAAACATCGACCAGCTGCCTCTTGCACACCCCCTACCGGGGATGTGCCTGCAACCAATGTACATGCCCTTGACCTGAATCGAACCGGGGACCTTTCAGTCCGCAGACCGAGGCTCTACCACTGAGCCAAACCAGCTTCGGCCAAATAAAAGGATTTTAATAACCATTGGATTTCCATGTTTTATCAGCATGAAAGTCCAATGGTTACTTGAGAAGTGTTTTGTTGTTGTTGTTTTTAGAGTTTTGATGGAATGGTAGGGTGAAGAGAATAATTCCCAAGTTAGAATGGGAAATACTTGGTTGTGGCCATAGTTTTCTGACACTTGCTATAGAGAGTGACTGGGGGAAGAGATGATATATTTCTATTTAACCTACAAAGACATATCCTTTCCCCCCTCTTTTTATTGCCCATTTTTCTCTTGTTAAAAGTTCTTGAAATTATGTACCCCGAATTGGCGATGGCTTTTCTCCCATGAGCTACGTTAGAGTTTTCAATAGGAAGACTTGTAGGAAAGTCTCTACCTTTCCCGGGGGGCAGTACTACTCCTAGCACATATCTGAGTGAGAGTTTGCATTGTATTTTGTTATTCATTTGTGGTTCTCAACTCTTTGCAAACCTGTGTATTAAGTTAAGCCGCACAACATGGACCCTATGTTCAAAAGTTTCATCACAAAAATGTCACAACGGTTGATAAGAAATTTGGCATTGCTTTTATTATTTTTTAAATATTATTATAGCTTTTATTATATATTTTTTAATTGATTTCAGAGAGGAAGGGAGAGGGAGAGATAGAAACATCAATGATGGGAGAGAATCATTGATTGGCTGCCTCCTGCACACCCTATACTGGGGATCGAACCCACAACCCAGGCATGTGACCTGACCGGAAATCATACTGGCAATTTTTAGGTGCATTGGTCACACCGGCCAGGCTACACTGGACTTTTTACCGTATACCAGAGTACCTGTCTTTAGAAATATAATAGAAACCAAGTAGAGTAACTTGCAGATTCACTGTGCAAGGCCTTCTGGGTATAAAGGTCAGTGTAAGAGCCCCTGTCCTCAAGGAGCTCTTCCTAACTACCAAGTGGAAGAGTGGGCAAGGCCCCTGGTGCTGCCAGGAAGAAGAGGTGGGCTGCACCTGTGAAGGGGACAGGAAATCCCTGTTGTTGACATAGGTAGACCAGGTCTTGAAGGAAAAATAGGAATTTGTTTGGCAAAATGAAATAGGAAGGCAACACGAGACTTTTAGGACAAAAACATGTTCAAAGGTCCTAAAATATACATCAGCATTCAGGGAACTTCAAGCAGGTTCTGACATAGCTGGTGTAAAAGATGGGAGAGAGTAGAAGGATCCGAAGTCCAGGAGTCTCATATACTATGCAAAGATATTTGGGTTAACGTTTATTAGAAACGGTTGGTTAAAAAGTGGTTGTATTTTCCTCATTCTCTGTGTTTATATTTATATACAAATAAGTATTTACAAATAGGTTGTTTTTTTTGTTTATATAACTGGTATGGATTTTGGAGTTTTCTTTGATGTGTTTGTTTGGAATATAAAGCATTTCTCCATGTATTTCAGAGCTCTCTGGTTACAAGCTGGAGAAGCCGAGTTTGGGTAATTTAACCAAACGGAAGTCTGTTGGCAGGTTCTTTGGGGGCTCTCAGGACCGGGTGGGGGGGCCTCTCAGGACCGGGGGGAGGCTGAAGGCTTGAAATAGGAAGGAGCCAACAGACTCCCAAGAGATTTCTGAAACATTCGCTACAGAATGCCTGTTGGGCACCACCACTGGAAACAGTGGATTCTACCCTGTTTCTTCCGCCCCTCCAGCCCCTCTAGCCTCATTAGTCAAGCTCAAGGCCATGTGCTCACCCCTTGACTGTAATAGGTAGAGGGTGGATTTACCATCCTACCAAGATTGTATGCATTGGGAAGAAGTAAAGGAAATCTTAGGAAAGGGGGATGGTGTTATATGGCCCCAAACATCGGACATGTACATCTCTTGTCATTAAAGACTTCAGAGACCAATCTTACAGGTTTTATGCAGTCTTTTTTTTTAGTGTATTGTGCTTACTTTGGTTAATAATAATATATAGGTTTCAAGTGTACAGTTCTATAATACACCATCTGTATATTGTATTGTGTGTTCATCATCCTAAGTTTAACTAGTTTTTCTAATTTTTTTAATATATTTTATTGATTTTGTACAGAGAGGAAGGGAGAGAGATAGAGTTAGAAACATCGATGAGAGTCATTGACCAGCTACCTCTTGCACACCCCCTACGGGGGATGTGCCTGGAACCAAGGTATATGCCCTTGACCGGAATCGAACCCGGGACCTTTCAGTCCCCAAGCCAACGCTCTATCCATTGAGCCAAACCGGTCTCGGCTAGTTTTCTAATTTTTTATGAAACAGGGACAATAACACTTCACTTACTGGGTTCTCCTGAGAAGTAAATGTGGTCACACTTGTATAGTACCTAGCACAATACCTGGAATAGTGTAGCAAGGCCTTTCTTTTTCAGATATTTCTTGCAAATACACTATTTGTACCCAGGTTTAGAAGTCCAATGGAATTGAAGTTTTCTCTTATTCCCTTCACTTATGGCAGATCTCTCCCTTTATTCTCTAGATAAAATGGAGGGCTACAAGAGATGAGCTCTCTGCCTTTTCTGTTTGTTTTTTTCTTCTCTTTTTTTCCTTTTTTCTAATTACAGAATCCACTGGAGTTGTACACACATTTCCCTGCATCCTGCTTTTCTCAGGAAAACAAATGCATCCAGCTCTGCTTCCTTTGATCTTGATCCTTCCCCATTACCCCAGCCCAGTTATCTTTTGGGACTTTGCTCCATTAATTTTCACCTCTTTCCTATGGCTTTAAT